TACTAAACTTTTTTTCCGACCAATATTTTTATAAAAGCTGTACAAATACAGTAAACAACAATGGTGTTAGGAATCTGTTTTAAAAACCGAAATATCTTTCTTAAAAATGGTCTTACAACGATTTAAATCCGATATATAAGCAGTTTTTTTAAGTGAAAGTTTGTTTTTATGTATATTTCACCCGAATTTATTAATGTGGCAAATACTAGTTTACTGCCAGTAAAATCAAACAATTGCAGTTGACAAATGTCAAGTAAGTCAAGGCTAACTTCAGACCGTAACTAGAAAGTGCGAAAGCCACTGCTTTAATTTTTTTTTGTATAATCAAAACCTTGTTGAATAATTGAAAGAATATATTGATAGTTTCCGGGTCTAACTAAAATAATTTGACCTTATTAAGTTGTCACGTGATTTTGTAATATTAAAAAATACAATAAGCTATTTTTCTATAATTTTTAATTTAAAAAAAAAACGGCTTCATACTGCATTTAACAAGTTGCATACTATACTTTATCTACTACAAACACAAATAAGAATTTAACAATTTTATTTGTTAAATTTTTGACATATTATGTCAAATATCAACGGATTAAACCCCACTTTTCCTCAATTTTTAATTAAGCTAACTTCAGACCGTGACTAAAATACCCAATTGCCAACTTCAGCCAGTGACTAAAACGCCATAAAGTCACAGCTCGTCAATGATGTAGTAGTAAATAATAGTATTTTATGTATCAAGTTTTATAAACGCCATTTTAGTTGGGAGCGAAGCTTGCGAGCGAGTGTTTAATAAAAACGAGTGTCTAGAGAAGTTTATAAAACGAGTTGCATACTATACTTTATCTGCTATTTTATTTTGAAAATGTTCCATTCTGTCCGTGTCTTTAATTTAACATTGGTAAGTTTATGTTAAAATGAAATCATTATCATCAATAATATTTTTTAATTTTTTTAACTTTTTACCATTTTGTCAATATAAAAGTAAAATCTTTAATACTTTGTATTAAAATTAAAGCAACAACCTATGTTCCTTCTGTTTGTCCTCTTTGTAGTCCTATGAAAGAGTGACAAATGGGCCAGTGAACAACTGTCAAATCGGTATATATTTGTCTATTGTTTGAAAGGATCACGTGTTTTTGTTAAATAAATAAGCTGGTTTTTGAAAAAAGTGGTAAATTTTATAATTCGTCTTTCCTGTCCATAAATCTCGTGACGCTGGAGCCCTATAGGGCTAGGGTAGAGTATGTAAATATATTATTAATTAAGTGTTTGCTGTCTAGCACCACTACTAGAAGAGTTTAAAATTATAGTAGGTATTAATATTATTTTATAAAATACTAAATATTTATAAAAAATGCATATCCTTTTATGTAATAATTTAATAGTCAAAGCGCCCCAGGAGAATAACTTGGCCTAAAAATTTCGTAACAACTTGGCGTGTGCGAAATTAAATTTAAAAAATATTTTAATAAAAAACTAAAAGACATCAGTCAGTTTTTCATTTTGAGCATATTAAAAAAAGTTTAAAACTATACCCAATTGCCAACTTCAGCCAGTGACTAAAACGCCATAAAGTCACAGCTCGTCAATGATGTAGTAGTAAATAATAGTATTTTATGTATCAAGTTTTATAAACGCCATTTTAGTTGGGAGCGAAGCTTGCGAGCGAGTGTTTAATAAAAACGAGTGTCTAGAGAAGTTTATAAAACGAGTTGCATACTATACTTTATCTGCTATTTTATTTTGAAAATGTTCCATTCTGTCCGTGTCTTTAATTTAACATTGGTAAGTTTATGTTAAAATGAAATCATTATCATCAATAATATTTTTTCATTTTTTTAACTTTTTACCATTTTGTCAATATAAAAGTAAAATCTTTAATACTTTGTATTAAAATTAAAGCAACAACCTATGTTCCTTCTGTTTGTCCTCTTTGTAGTCCTATGAAAGAGTGACAAATGGGCCAGTGAACAACTGTCAAATCGGTATATATTTGTCTATTGTTTGAAAGGATCACGTGTTTTTGTTAAATAAATAAGCTGGTTTTTGAAAAAAGTGGTAAATTTTATAATTCGTCTTTCCTGTCCATAAATCTCGTGACGCTGGAGCCCTATAGGGCTAGGGTAGAGTATGTAAATATATTATTAATTAAGTGTTTGCTGTCTAGCACCACTACTAGAAGAGTTTAAAATTATAGTAGGTATTAATATTATTTTATAAAATACTAAATATTTATAAAAAATGCATATCCTTTTATGTAATAATTTAATAGTCAAAGCGCCCCAGGAGAATAACTTGGCCTAAAAATTTCGTAACAACTTGGCGTGTGCGAAATTAAATTTAAAAAATATTTTAATAAAAAACTAAAAGACATCAGTCAGTTTTTCATTTTGAGCATATTAAAAAAAGTTTAAAACTAAAGTATATTTTAGAATATTAAAAGCAATTATTATTTTATTCACCATGTATTTGCACTAGTTCTAATTAAAACATCTCAAGGTCTAACCGTATTGATTGAGTATTTTTGGTAATTAAAAAATCCATAGTGACCAGGTCACATTTTTTGCATTTTTGTCATGATTTCCTAATTTAAATTCAAGTTTACATTAAAAATGTATTCGTTTATAATTTTTGGATGATTTTAAAGTTTATTCAATAATATTTTTGAAAATATGGTAGAAAATAAAGGAAGCGAGGAAGAATTGGATGAAAATTTGTCTGGTTCTGAGAATGATGGGGAAATTTCTAAAGAAGATCAACAAATTTTGTACACAAGCTTACCCATTGACTTTTCTTTCAGAAACTACAAAAAAATAGAAGGTACCTAGCTACTTGTTGTAAAATTACCAAAAATATACAACTTTCGTTAATATCGCCAAAAATTAAAACCACATAACCTCAAAATAGTAAACTGGCATTTAAAGTTAGTTGACAAATATCAAAATTTTATTATTTTTTTTGTATATTTTTCCAAAATGTCCGATAATGTTCGTGCTGAAAAGGGAGTTGTCGCTGATTTCTCATTTAACAAACTTTATAATTTAGATGTTGACAGATTTTTAAGAGGTATTTATGAAAAGTTTTTTTAAATGGTGGATGATTTATTAATTATTAAAATATTTAAAAAAAAATTATCGTATTACAACTTTTCGTGATAACTAAACAGCAGTGGCGGCTCGTCGTATAAAGCAACTGAGGCCGGGCCTCACATGTTAAAATTATAATATAATTTGAAATGTTGAATACATTACTTATTTAAATATAAAACGTTTTTAAACTAATTTCCTGTCATTAAAAGTTTCAAAACATCGAATAACCATCAAAGTTTAAAATATTTCCTTCCAACTTTAATTCTAAACGCTTAAATCATTGCCCGACCGCATAATAGGGAAATAGTAATCCCTGAAATTTGCGCTTCATATACGTCAAACATTGCCGATACAACATCATGCTCCCCACCGCTGCACGGTGCCGCCGGCACCCCCGCAAGTCGGGGATAATACGCGAATTTTTGTAGACATTGAGGCCCACAAAGTTGGGCGTGTACCACAGTATATGGAAGACAGCAGAGTCAGTACCGAGATCTGTGCGACTCGCTTATCAGCCGTTGTAAAAGACTGGGCGGGGCGTGGAATGTTTTAGTAAACAAAGCTTATTAATTAGATCTATGCGTGTTTATAGTTTCTTATTTCTGTTCAGTCTTTGCCTTAGCGTTAAAATGGAAAGTTGTGATAAAAATGCAAGCGTAAAATACATTATTGTGTTGTGAATTCATGTAAAAATAATTCAAATAATTATAAAATATCATTTTTATTTTAATATACTATTATATTAAAACACAAATACCACAGTAAAAATATAAATAAAAATATTTGTTTTTTTATAGTTCAGTGTTAAATCGTTGAGTTTCATATACCTACTGTGCTTGGATATCTTAAACAAATATTGACCAATTTTTAAAAATGATTAATAGTTTCGTTTCCTTAAAAATAATGTTAAAATATAATTATGGCATTTTAGAAATTTTTAAGATACATAGTAAAGTAAACAGTTGTGTTTTTTGGATATTGTAAAAAACATTGCCTATCTTTGACAGATTCCAACTTTCTTAAATTTTACCACGAACGATACATAATGTTGTTTTCTTTTAAATAATAAATATAATTATGCAATTACTGCATAGCAAAATATAAAATAATGTTTTTGGCATATCTTCTTTCTTGATTTTTGACCAACTTTAAAAAATATTGTTTTAAACGATGAATAATTTTGTTTCCTAAAAATAATGTTAAAATATGTCATTTTCCAAAACATTTTGCAAATTTAAAAAAAAACAGCAAAATATACAGGATATTGTAAAAAACGTTCTCGGCCATTCCACGCGTAACAGTACTAGTAGTCTTTTTGAATAAAAAAATTAATTTTTAATGAATTAAACAGTCAACCACGATACCTAATTTTGCCAAATAAAAACCTTGTTAAACAGCTTTTGTTTAGAACTATTTATAAAAATTTGACATTAGTTTTATAATAGAACAATGTTATTTTGTAAATAAAAACTTGCAACTGTCCCATCCGTTACGCGTGGAATGGCCGTTCTCTATCTTTTACTTTCTTGATTTTTGACCAATTTTAAGTAATATAATGTTAAACGATACATAATATTGTTTTCTATGAAATAATTAATATAATCATGCAATTTTTGTATAGCAAAATATAAAGTTGTGTTTTGAGATATCTTCTTTCTTGATTTTTGACCAACTTAAAAAAATAATATTTTAAACGATGAATAATTAAAATATTTTTTTATTTTTGACAGGTTATACTTTTTGATTTTTTTTAAACGATAAATAATTTCTTTTCCATAAAAGTAATGTTTAAATGAAATAGCAAAATATTGTTCGGTTATTTTACCAAAAATGACAAACTTTAACTGACCATTTTGGATATTTTTTTAACGAATTTTAAATAATTTAGTTTATTATTTAATATTTTTACAGATATTGGTGTTGAAGGAGTGAGATCGACAAGAGTACTAGCGACTCCAAAAAAATCAATAGACGACAAATACATAACAAGATCACTATGGTTAAACAACAACAAATTAAAATCTCTTGCTGGGTTGGACACTTTGGTGGATAATTTACTTAAATTCCCCATGGAACTACAATGGATTGACATTTCGTTTAATTATTTACGCAGTATAGACGATGTAATTCTAAAATTCCCAAAATTAAAAATAATATATTTGCACGGAAACTGTTTAACGGATATGGACGAAATTTTTAAGCTAAGAAACCTAAAGGAACTAAAAACGGTTACTTTTCAAGGAAATCCCATCTCGAACTCCCCGAAATACCGTAGCTACGTCATATCCTGTCTCCCAACGGTGAGTTTTACAGCAACTCAGTGTAGGTCATTTGAACTACTGGTGTTTTATGCAGCTCAGTGTATTTGGGGTAAATGTCAAACATTTTGTAGATTTTAAATTTGGATTTTATACCTGTGTTAAAAACTGACAGAATGATGCCCCTTTTACCCGAAGTTATCAAAAAAATTGAAGCGAATAGAAAAATACAGCAAAAATCGGGGAAATAACCTCACTTTTATGTAACATAACCTCATTTATCGTAGCTACTTAAATGTCAATAAAACAGCGTTTAAAGTGTTTTTTCCTATTAATTGTTGTAAAATTTAAATATATCGGTGAGTATGGAGGTAATAATTTATTTGTGAAGTAATTTTTGTTGAATTTCAGTCACAAAATGGATACATTCCAGGATTTTATAAGTTTTTTAGCGTTTTTAGGCGAACAAGATAAAATAATATTGAATAATAACATAGAGGTTAACTCAAGAAGAATAAGTGAGTTATTATTAGAAACAAATAACGATACGCCAAAATTTTATGTGGAATTATTAACTCAAATTGGTGAAAATAACTTTGTTATTTTACACGATGACAAATTTGAGTATAAAATATTCATACATGAAAAATGGATGTTTACAGTAACTTTATTAGTGTCTTTAAGGCATAATAAGTATATTTCCAATCAAAAATTACTCCAGGAAAATTCTCAGAATGATATACGAGTAATTATGATGATTCTATTAAATAATTTGAAAATAAGTGAAGTTGTGACATTACAGCTATTAATATTGCTTGAAATTATATTAAAGAAACACAGTGACGTCCTAGAGGAAAATTTATGTGTGGATACACTAAAAAATATGAATAATATTGCTCTTTGTCCAATATCAAAATTTAAATATTATGCACATTGCATATCAAAGATTATATTGAAATTTATACCAAAAAAATGCCTAAACAGTTATGAAAATCTACATTATCTACCTGTAAGAGGCATAGAAACATCAGATTTGGTAAAAGTTGTTTATCAAAATCAAGATTTTGATATAAATTTGGTCAAAAAATGTATACGACTATTTCAGAACAATTTGGACTCAAAAGATGGCAGTTCTTTGTACGAATTTTTAATAAGTTGTGATTTTGAGTTTTGGCGGGAAAAAATATGGCCCTACTTTAAGGAAAGCTTTGAAAATATAAAGTTAGAAGGGTAAGTTACATCTGAAAACCATGTTAGTACTTTTTTCAGTAAATTGTTGTTTTAGTGAATATTTCCAAAGTTTGGTAAAATATTGGATACCCCTTAATATTAAAAGATATCAGGACACGTTCTATGATTTTTTATTGACGCAAAACATTAATTTCACATTGGAATCATTAATTTATTACGAATTAAAAAAACAAAGTTTTAACGGTAGTTTATATGATGAAAACATGTTGAAATACGTTAAAAATAGTGAAACTAAAAATATTGTTTTAAAGACATTTGTTTTTAAAGGTTTTAAACCTAGATTGTATGATTTAAATTGCATAAAATATTATTTATTTTCAACCACTGATATTTTAAGCGAGTCCAGTCAAAAAACTTTAAGGCAAATTTTTTCCCATATATTTTTGTATGGCAATAATTTGACTAGAAAAAATATTGATACGGAAATACTAGAGGATTTTTTTGTGGATTTATATAATTATATTAGTCCCCTATTTAATATACAGAGTGATTTGGCCTCACAAGTGCTACTGATTATTTTAAATAGCGCCAAAATGCCAACAAAAAAATTAACCCTGTCTTATACGCCAGAAAGGTTGGATTTTTACGAGGAAAACAATAATTTGCTGTACAAAAAAATGCAGGGGTGTCAAAAATGGCATTTTGAGAACCAAACAATTATAGGTCTTATTAAATTTTGGTTCTTGAAGACTGAAGGTGTCAATGAAAATGTGACCCAAATTATTTTGGGTTATTTTACGGATAACATAAAAATAGAATGTGATATTTTGAAAATTGTGGAAAATTTCGCAAAAAATCCCAACTTACAATCGTGTGAAAAAATAAAAAATTATGCTAAAATATGCGAAAATGCTGATTTTGAAAAAATTATGTGTGTGCAAAATGATCTTCTCAATAAAGGATTTATTGAATGCGACGAAAATATTTTATTTAAATCTGTTTTATTAATGGAAGTAATTTTAATATACTCCGAAAAAAATGTTTTTTCTCCAAATATAGTCGATTTTTTGATAAAATCCGTTGATGTATTAAATCAACTTTTAAATGAGGAAAAGTTTAGAAATATTACCAATAGGGCAACGAAAATTCTGGAGACTTACATAAATGTAAAAAAATAACAAATTATTAGTTTTAACACATTAAAAATTTGTTTTATTTTAGAATTTGTTAATTTTCATTAAAATCTCCTATGCAAAGTTACCAAACAATCTTAAGGAAAAAATCATGGAACTAATTGTGAAAATAATAAAAATTAGTAACATGAAAAAGCCTGTAACAATGTCAGTGGAGGTGTTAAAATACTTGGGGTGCATGGAAAACAACTTTGATAAAAACTTGAATATAAAATTATTGGCAAGAACAATGGAACATATAATCTATTCACCAGAAAGATTGAATGTTAAAATTAGGAGGAATCCAGAGACTAGATTGGTGTTGCATGCTTTAATAACATCTGAAAAACATTCAGATAAGGTAGTAAAAAATATTTGTATTTACCTAAATTTTTTAATAATTATTTTTAGCCCCTATTATTTTGGTGTTTGGAGTTTTTAATGGATGTTTTAAGAAATAAAAAATCCTCAGACTCTGCATTGACGTCATCATTTCACTGCTTGGAAATAATAGTGTCTGATAACACAATTCAAAAACATACTATGAAATATGTTCCCGAAATAATTGAACATACTGTATTGCTCTACAAAAACCCCAGTTGGAGTGTCAGGTAATCAAATAAGCAATTGATTTTTTTCCCTAATATCCTAGCAACTGCGCCATTTTATAACATTTTTATTGTTTCGACCATGGTACAAGAAAACAAGGTATGTTCTTTAGTGCGCACCACCCAGTTACCGCCATCTTAGTTCATTCCCACCTATGAATTTAAATAATATTTTAAATTTAAATAATATTTTCTTATGAAATTCATCCAAATTTCTATAAAATTATTCGATTTTTAGATTAAATTGTCGTAAAAAACGTAAAAAACTTTCAAAGTAACTATAAAGAAAATATTATTAATGAAAAAAACTATTTTATATGGTTTTTCAATCAAATAAAATATATTTTTTTTAAAGTAAATAATATTTACTAAATACCAAATAAAATATAAGAAAAATTTAATTTTTGTTTTTAGGTTAAATGTTTTAAATAAAATATCTTTTTTTAAATTCATTTATGTTTTCAATAAAATAAAATAACCTGTTTTAAAGCAAATATGTATATAGAACACAGTGGCGGCCCGTCACATTTCATTTTGGTGAGGCAGAGGCAGGGTTTCGCCCTCATTTAAAGGCGAAGAAATTTTTTTAAACCCAACTTAAAAAAACTGACGTCGCAGTTCACAACCTATACTTAAAACTAAGTAAAAAACTTAGACTGTGGTGGGGAAGAAACCCTGTACTTTGTCAATGAAATATATTTTATTGTAAAAATGACGTTTATTTTAAATAAACCTCATTTTTGTCTAATTAATATTTCATTGTTCAGCAAGAACCACATGAAGGTGTGGAGGTAAACTTTACCTGGTAAAGTGCAGCATTATTAATATAACCATTAGGTTTAAGCCCTAATCATTGAATTAATAATAGTACACCATCTTGCCGTTCAAAAGTTCAAAAAAAAGTCAACAATATCGGTACAATTTCTCACCGTAATATCCATAGTGACTAAATTCACATAAATCACCAAGTTCAATTAACTAAACCCACAGAATAAACCACTTACAAAAGAATCATAAAATAGACAAACTCATAGAAAAAGAATAAACAAAATATTGCGTAAATAACCACAGATTTGTTCTTTAAACAGTTCAGAATTTTATAACCCAAGATACATACACCTTAAGATAGGATGGTGCGCATGTTGGGCGGGGCTTAATGACGTCACTTGATGAGTGTTTTTAAATCTTTAACGTGCTTTTTAATTATCTACTGCTAAAATTCTTGTTTTTGCGATGCTTTTGGATGTTAACTTGCTCTACTTTTTGTTTAACTTGTCGTTTTTGTGTTCGGTAAGGTTCGAATTACTTTTCAGCGTTCAAATTATTGTTATTGCGTTGTGTTAACCTGTTAGGTTTGTTTATTATTGTTTTTGTGTTGCGTTAACTTGTTTTGTTTGTGTTTTAGATTGTATAGTGCCATTTGCATTTATTAAAATGCGGTGTGGCATATTTGGATGCAATTCGGACAACCAGTCCAAGAAAAACCCTTTAAATAAAAACATTAAATTTTATCGATTCCCGAAAAAGTTTGATTTGTGGAAACAGTGTTTAAATGCCACAAAAATAATAGACAATATTTACGTTAAGACCGCTTCTGTTTCCTATGAACATTTTCTGGACAGTGACTATAAGTTTAATTTAAAACACCAACGCTTAAACTACAGCCCTAAATGTTATCAAGGACTGAAAGCACCTATTATCCATATTATAACACTTTCTTCAATATTAAGTTTAATAAAAACGCACTATGTCCAGAAATTTCCCTATTTTCTTTGATAATATTACTATTATTCGTGTATTCGCACGGCAACTACTCATCAAGTGACGTCATGCGTGGGACGAACCAAAACTCGTACACGGGAGCATCCAGCCCTGTTATAACCAAAACAAACCTAAAGAAGGAATCTGTATTTATTTTATTGGTTACTGTGATGGCTACAAGATGGCGATAGTGTTAAAATATGTTTATTTTAGAATATAAATATAATTTCGATTAAATCGATTTATTGTAAGAAAAATAATACCATTTATTATTGAATTTTGAAAAACGTGTGAAGTATAATTTATCTAAAATTCCGCAACAGTGTTGCCACAAAACCTGCTTATTTCCTTGGATGTAGGCGTGCCTGCCCCGCGTATGCTAATACGAGAGAAGGAGACAACTATGATATCGCATTGTAATAGAACGAGATAACAAGGCCAACGCCAATCGTGAGTCTAAATTAGTTCAGGCATGCTTCTGAGCAAATCATCTAGCTATAAATATTAGTTTAAATTGCGGTCGTTTCAAACTCAAATAATTTAAATGTTGCTGGGTATTTCACGTAAAAAATCAATCAATTTATTTTAAAATATATTTCCTTAAAATCAAAGTTTTCAAGCCCATACTAAGGAATTATATATGTTATATTGGATTTCCAGTTTTTTTCTTTTAGCATTGTTTTTACTAGGGCTGTACAATTTAGCTGGTTAAGCTGGCTAAAAAAGTTGGCTAAGTTAATTAGCTAGCTAACTGATCAGCTTAGCTAATTTAACCGGTTAACTAAATTAGCTGGCGGCCTAACCGGTTAATCTAGCTTTGCTCAGCTAATTAATTGTTTAGCCAGTTAGCCGTTTAGTTAACCGGTTAAATTAGCTAAGCTGATCAGTTAGCTGGCTAATTAACTTAGCTAACTTTTTTAGCAGGCTTAATTGTACAGCCCTAGTTTTTACAGATTTTCCTGAAAAGTGCATTGGCAGGTAGACTCTTTTACACTTTAAAATAGGTTAAATAACAACTCACATCAAAATGTACCTTGTTTTCTTGTACCATGGTTTCGACCTTTACTTGATGAAACTCCATGTTATTTTTATACATTTATACATTAACTAATAAAGTAATTATTTCAGAAACGGACTGATACAAATGGTTAAGGCCATCATAGAACGTTTTTTTGGTGTCTTCATAAACCTAGAAACAAGACCGAAAACGATTGAAGATCTGTTCGTAATTTTCCCGAAATTATCCACGTTTTTCCAACAATTTTTAAACCAACCAAACTTCACCCCCTCTCACGTCATAATATTCCTTTATTTTTCCGAATCAAAATTTAGAGATCAAATTTTCCAAAATCCCGAAGTTGTTTCGACAAGATTCAAATTTTCGACGGCGTTCTTCGACCTGGCCAATAGCGTTACAGGTTACTATGGTAACCAGGTGAGTTTGTCGATTGTTTCCATGACGTCGGATAGGAATATACCCGTCATCTTTGAACAAACTGTAGATTATATTATGCAGGGTCGCCTTAAATGCAACATAATGAAAAATTATTTAATTATTTTGGAAGGGTTGCATTTCAAGTATAAAAATTCGTTTGAGTGCAGTATAAATAGTAACATGGGTGTAATCGATTCAGCAACTGAAAAACTTTTAGGGTTTCTGAGATGTCGTGTTGGTGAAATGTTTGACTTATTGTTGTTTAAAATAAATTCAGTAGAGAGTGTTCTAAAATCGCAAAATTCTAAAAATTCTGGTTATTTTTTAGATAGAATTTGGTTTCACAATAATTTACCATTCATTTTTCAAAATATGCAAAGTAAAAATTTTGCGCAAGCCTTAAAAAGTTCCTTTAATCTAAATATTCCAGATTTTATTCAAGTAAAAATTTTGTCCATTTTGGTAGATAGAGTTAAAAATAATCATTTTCATGATGATATTATTTGTGATATTATTGATATTTTAGTTAATAAATTTATGTTAAATAACAATAACAACAAATATTTATCTTGTTGTTATTTTAAAGTTATTTTAGCGCTCTTTGAAAGTTGCAATTATGAAAAATTTGATCAAACTCTACGAACATTTTACAATACTAATAATTTTTATCAAATTATGACACTAAATGTAATTCTAACAAAAAATAATGAAAAAAATTCCATAGATTATGAATTTGTAAACAAATCTTTAAATTTATATGAACAACAAATATTTTTCAATGAAGACATAGTGTATACCCTAATTTATTTATATAATAATATAAATAATTATAAATCTAGACTTAAAGTACTGAATATAGCCATATATTTACTATTAAAGACTGAATACACTAAAGATATATGCAATTTTATGTGTTTAATAACAAATATTAAATTCACCAATACATTACAGATAGTAAGCGATTTTTTTACTGTTAAAACTCTTCAAAATATATTGGAAGATAAAATTTTAGTTGGTAAATTTCTTAATACATCTCATAAATATTTTTCCGCCTTGGAAAATAATTTTATGGAATCTGATACTTTTTATTTGGTTCAAAATGATATGAGTATACCCAAAATAGTCCTAATTAAGATTGTAAAACGTTGTATTGTGGAATATATGCGTTTTTTAAAGTACATTTTGTCTTATTTTTTCCTTCAAACGCTTTAAAATTCAAATATTCAGCCTAAACTGTATTTGGTACATTTGATCTACTACTTACGTTGGCAGCACTGTTAAGCTTCGTATTTCAACTCGCAGATGGCGCTGCTAAATGACTTTCGAAACGTCAACAAAAAATTATCGTCATTCAGAAAAAATGGCGGCGGCAGCGGTACAACATCCAAATGTGAACGATTTTCTGGCGAAAAAACAGAAGGAGAGTCCGAAAGATTTGGCGCAAGAATGGGCGGAATTGGAGGAGCTGCACAACAAAAAGTTTGTGGGGTGAATTGCGTTTTTCGAATGTTTTGACCGGTGTGATTTTTTGTAGATTATGGCATCAGTTGACGCTGAAATTGATGGTGTTCATCAAAAAGCCCGAGTTCAAGAAGGACGATAATTTAATACAACTGTACAACAACTTTATACAGACTTTCGAAAATAAGTAAGTCATCATCGGTACACATAACCTCAATGTTCTATCTATTGTCTTTTGTTTTTATTTAAGGATTAACCCTTTATCATTGGTTGAAATTGTTGCCATAGTGGTTGAGCAAATTAAAGAGCCCAAAGATGCAGTGGCTTTCCTTGAAAAGACTGAACCGAAAGTTAAGATTAACCCCGATGCGCAGAATTTGTGCAAAGTGCTTGCAGGGCAAATACACTTGGAGAAGTTGACCGATTTGGAAGCTACCAAAAAGATTATTGAAGAGGTCGAGGCTACTTTGGATAATGCCGATGGTGTTACTGCCGTACATGGAAGGTTTTACTTGTTGGCTTCCCAATATTACAGGTTAGTAAATATTATTTTCTAGAACAATTTTTTTAGTAAATCGGTTTATAATGCCACTGCAAAAAATTATCCTAGGCACCTTTTATTAACAGAATTAAAATTTGAGTGAATTAAACTTACAACAATAAAAATGGATTACCAAAGAATCTTCTAAAAGTCGCACATCACCTTAGAGATGCGACTTTTTTTCATGTTTTTTTCATAGTTTTTTTCAAATGGCTTTGATTCATATTTTAGGTTTTTTTGTCACCACGACCAAATTGACCAATAAGGGCCGCGCTTGTTTTGATTTGGTCCTAAAAAAAGTAACTAGTACTAATAATATTTTTGATTTAGAGCTTGATTTTTCAAAAAGCTACCAAAAGCACTTTTTTCATGATTTTTGAAATTCATGTAGAGTACGGAAATTATTTTTTTCAAAAAAATAATAGGAAATTCTTGTAGAACATTCTGTGGACCAAAAAAGAAAGCCAGAAAAATTTCGATTTTTTTTATTAGGACCTAAAAATGTCAAAACTAGAAACTTCCAGCTTCAAATTGCTTTTTTACGGCTCCAATACGACCATTTTTAACGAAGATACTGCTATCCGAAAAATCGCAAATTTTTTTATCCTTTTCTATTAGTGTAGAAGTTTTACATTGCTATTGGTTTCTTAGGTGAAAACTACCAAATAATAGGAAATCAGATTTTTTAGTCTGTCAAAATTTTCAATAATATAATACCTAATATATTCTACATTTCACTTTATTATTAATATACATTTTACTCAATATTTCATTTTGAAAAATTACTCAATTTTTAAGATTGACGTTATTTATTGACAGAATATGCTTTATTGTAGCGGATTTAAAAAAAAACGTTCCTTTTTATCATGTTTTTTTTCATGTCTGAAAAAAAATACGTTTTTTTTACATCTCTACACCACCTGAGGGTGTATATGTAATCTACAGACATTCAGGAATTTTATAAAAAAAGTTTGACTTGTTTCTTTTTTTTATAGTAATTTTGCCAACCCTGGGATTTTGTAATTTGACACAAAATCAGTGTAATATTAGTTGTTTACTTCCTAAGTAATATTTTAACAAGAAGCATAAGTGCTGGTGGCAACAAAAATCCGAGTCGAAGAGGAGGATTTTTGCACCTGCACCAATGCATTTTGTTAAAAAATATTACTTAGCATTGTGTTTTTTCGATTTTTTTCACAGGAAAAATTAGATGCCTGAATGGTATTTGACAAGACTATTTCATGAGTAACAGTTATTCTGCATGCACATAGCTTACAAAACATACTACCTATTATACATGCATACATAATAAATATGTAGGTATTAATTAAAAAACTGAAAAATAGGTAATTTATTTAATCACAAAATACTACAAACTTAATTATTTATGGTACAATTAAAATATAAATTGCAATTTTGGTGACAACAGCTGTCAAGTTTTGCCGCGGGTAAACTCGAAAAAACTGCTGACAGGTGCTGTCATACAGTTTTTCCACCTAGAAACCATTTGTAATTCAAAATTGCGCGTTTGTGTTTGGTGGAAATTAGACGAGGTGATTGGCTAGTTTCTCACATCCTTTGAAATTTTTAATATTTGACACACATTTTTGAATATTACATTGTCAAATATTTTTAAAACAAGGAGTCCTCGTTACAAAGTTAGGTGTGCTTGACACTTATTGTTTTTTATTGGATTTCGTGGGTTTTAAAAATAAAGTTTTTTCCTAGAATCCAAGGCGACCATGCGCAGTATTACCGCACAGCACTCCGCTACTTGGGTTGCATCGAAGTAGAAACCTTAACAGAAGAAGTAAAACATCAGCACGCGTTCTTTCTGGGTCTGGCCGCCCTACTGGGCGAGGGGGTGTACAATTTGGGGGAATTACTGGCGCACCCCGTATTGGATTCGCTCAAAACGACAGAAAATGCCTGGCTGGTGGAATTATTGTTCGCTTTTAACTCTGGCAACATCAACAAGTTTGAGCAGATGAAGTCTCATTGGTCCGCCATAGCGGACTTGGCTGCTCAAGAGTTGTTTTTGAGGCAGAAAATTTCGCTGCTGTGTCTTATGGAGGTGAGTTGAAATTTAATCGATGTAGCTTCCTTAACTTTCTATAAGCCTATAGACAATTTGCAATTCTGCGCTTCCTGTAGCTTACAGAAAATCTTAAAGAATCGTAAAGTTCCTAGTCGATCAGTGGCGCACTTTTTGGTAGGATAATGTTTATTATAAATTATTTTTAGGCTTTAGAATTTAGAAAACAAATTTTTACGGGGGAACCCAGAAATGCCCTATTAAAGTGTATTTTTTATTGTAGATGACTTTCAAGAGACCCTCTCACAACAGGCAGTTAACTTTCGCCGAAATTTCTAAAGAAACCAAATTACCCATCAACGAAATTGAGTTATTGGTTATGAAAGCCCTTTCTCAAGGTCTAGTCAAGGGTGCTATTGACCAGGTAAGTCGAAACTCATCGGATTAGTTGGCAAATATTTTATGTTTTAATTTCCTTAGGTTGCCAGTACTGTAAACATGACCTGGGTGCAACCCAGAGTCCTTGACAGAACCCAAATCACCACCATGGTTGACAGATTAAACGAATGGTGCAAACACGTCAACACGATGGAAAAAATGTTGGAGGAAAAAGCCAGCGAAATTTTAACCCTTTAGATTTAAAAACAACCTTTTTTTTGTAAGAATTATATAATATTATTAATAAAGTTCGTTTTCTAACAAAATGCCTTTTATTTAAAAACAAATTTTTCAACGTTAAAATAAGTTGTGCACAACCTGACAACCTTGCATTTTTGCAATTTCTGGCAACGTCGCATGCTCCCTCAAGTTGTTTCAAAATCAATCTTTTTGAAAATTCCCTCAATATGAGACTTTTTGCTAAATCCGGCAACCTCGTAAAGAATCGGGAGCAAAAATTTCACCTCCTCGCCTTTATGTGCTCCTAATACGAAATTTTCAAATTTTGCATTTTCAGGTTTTGAATAATGTGATTTTGCAATTTTTAGATTTTCGGTTTTTGGATCAGGAGTGCATAAAAGCGAGGAGGTATTTTGCTCCGGATACTTGGCCACGTTGCCAGATCGTGCAAAAAATTGCAGATTTTGGGACACGATCTGGCAACATCGCAAAGTATCCGGAGAAAACCTATTACCTCCTCGCCTTTATGTGCTCCTAATACGAAATTTTCAATTTTTACATTTCGGGTTTTGGATAATGTGATTTTACAATTTTTAGATTTTCGGTGTTTGGATCAGGAGTGCATAAAAGCGAGGAGGTATTTTGCTCCGGATACTTGGCCACGTTGCCAGATCGTGCAAAAAATTGCAGATTTTGGGACACGATCTGGCAACATCGCAAAGTATCCGGAGAAAACCTATTACCTCCTCGCCTTTATGTGCTCCTAATACGAAATTTTCAATTTTTGCATTTTCGGTTTTTGGATGTGATTTTACAAACTTTAGATTTTCGGTTTTTGGACCAGGAGTGCATAAAAGCGAGGAGGTATTTTGCTCCAGATACTTGGCCACGTTGCGAGATCGTGCAAAAAATTGCAGATTATGGGACACGATCTGGCAACATCGCAACGTATCGGGAGCAAAAATTTTACCTCCTCGCCTTTATGTGCTCCTAATACGAAATTTTCAATTTTTACATTTTCGGTTTTTGAATAATGTGATTTTGCTATTTTTAGATTTTTCGGTTTTGGATCAGGAGTGCATAAAAGCGAGGAGGTATTTTTCTCCGGATACTTGGCCACGTTGCCAGATCGTGCAAAAAATTGCAGATTTTGGGACACGATCTGGCAACATCGCAAATTATCCGGAGCAAACATATTACCTCCTCGCCTTTATGTGCTCCTAATACGAAATTTTCAATTTTTACATTTTCAGTTTTTGAATGTAATTTTGCAATTTTTAGATTTTCGGTTTTTGGATCAGGAGGGCATAAAAGCGAGGAGGTATTTTGCTCCGGATACTTGGCTACGTTGCCAGATCGTGCAAAAAATTGCAGATTTTGCAAAAAGACGGAATTTTCAACAAAATAAGCGACGTTGCCAAATGTGCATTTTTTACTCAAACTGCAACGTTGTCAGATCATGCAAAACTTACCAGATTCTAGGAATTTCATTTTTTTGCGAAGTTTTGTAAAAAACAGAACCTGAGATTATGTTTTAATTTAGACTCTACTTACCTTTTGGCTTTTATTTTAGATACTGAGTTTAAGTTTTTAAAAGGATTTATGTAAAATTAAACACCATGTTAAATAAAAACAATTTATTTATTTATTTACAAACATTTAATTACATTACCTTTAATACATAAACATTTTTTAACCCTTATAAGTCAATAACCCGTCGAAAAGAGTTATTGTAGTTTTTTAATAACCCCTCTACAGCGTAGTTTACCGTTTGTAAATTTCACTAAAGAGCGTAAATATTTTAGATCTGGCAACATTGCTCTGATAAAAAATTGGATTTATATTATTCTTAATAATAAAAACAATTTTTATTTTAATTTTCACAAAGGGTGTAACAAGTTCCCTTGGGGAATGATTGGTAGGTTTGGGATAAAAAAAAATATGGAAATTAACGTAATTCTTAGTCATTTGTTTGGCAGCCACTGCTTTCGTGATTCATTCTGACGAACCCAATCGCTTACACGTTAGATAGGTCGTGATTTAAACAAATCCAGTGTCGTTCCAAACAAATGACGTTAGTGATAGAGCTTTCTTTGGCGTAAACTATCATCCTCCCAAGGGATGACAACATATTATATGACACCCTGTATTTAGAACGTCTATTTTTGAATGATATTAATAAATATTGTGAATTTACAAACATACAAAGGTGTGAGTGACGTCATAAGTTTTCTACCGCAAAAGCGGAGATTTCCAAATTTGACTGAATTGCAAAAAAGTTATTTTTAACGTAATGTTTATGTTTTTTATTTAAACATTTTTTAAATTTAAACCCCTAATTTTTGCACCACGCTGTACTTTTTATAATGATAATTAGTGATAAAAAATATGTAACATTTATTAATACATTTTTCCTTACACAAAATACTGAGAAAATATAACAAAAAATAAACAAAAAGGCTCTCGAAACTTCAACACACAACAATAGAAACAAGAATAAGTAAACACTTCCTTATTCTTTGTATATTTATTTTATGTTTTTGTGTTGGTACATTTATTTACCTTAAACACGAAAGCACGGAGTTTTTCCGTAAATATTCTACTTGTATTATCAATTGTAATCCCTAAATCACGACAGGTAAACAAACACTTTTAAGTACCTTGTATACAAAAGAAATCCCAAAAATTATGAAATGCTTATTTCGGTTAGTCAGTCCCTAATCACTAGCTATAATGGACTAATTGTTTTAATTTAATGAAAATAAGACAAAAACTTTCTATAAATTAATTTTTCATGCCAACTTTTTTAAACATTGAGTTTTATTTCAATAATCTGAGTCAAAATTTCAGTGTCAGATTTTTCAGAATCCGATATTTCCAAACCAGAAACCCTTTCTGTATTTTTTGTTTTATTATCAGCTTTATCTTGTGGACATGTTTTTAACATACTTCAATAAATCACCCTGTAGAATATAATTTAGTCGATTTTTGATGCGACTTGTCAGATACATTTTATCTTGCTGAAATAAAGTTTGCTGCCTCAAAATGAATCATATCTCAAAAAGTTTTGAAGATGGATGTTGTTTTCACCAAAAAATTTTGTTATATACATTAGGGTGTCAGTTATTTGCCAAGTTTTTTTTTACTTGGGTATACCCAATGTGATTATCCAAATTATTTATTTATTAACTCGCTTAATATTAGACATGCAACAATTATTGTATGGAGAAATATTTTTGTAGGAAATTTTACGCATACCAAAAAAAGGTCTTTACAATTTTTTCGTAAAACAATCTCATTTAAATAATATAGTGGGTTTAAAATAAAAAAAAATGTCTTTGTCACTTGGGTATCATCCAAATAATTTGTTTACAGTTTAAAAACAATTAGGTATAAAAAATATTTTTAATTATTTACATAGTAAAAACTTCAAAAACTTGCTTATCAAAACCATCCATTTAAAATATTCAATACAATTAAAAGTTTCATCATTTAGGCATAGGATTTTTTCAATTTTGTTTTTAGACTGTAAAGAAATAATGTAGATGCATAAATTATAATACAAATTAACACTAATGCTTTTATTGCGATCTCCAAGATCGCTTTAAAACTACAACAAAACTTTTTATAAAACCAAATGATCTTTAAGACAGCTTTAGGACCATTATCAAGCATCCTTCATAAAAGGATCTTCAAGACTAAATTTTAAATCATCTTAAAACCAAGGCAACTTTAAACTTATATACCTATTAAAACTTATTTGCATTTAAACTTTACCTTCAGCAGACTAAATTACCTTAGGAATTAAATTTCTGCCTCAAAAAGAGAATTTAAAAAAAAATATATCTCGAAAACTACTAAACATAAATTTTTGTTGCTTTTAACAAATAATTTGTCAAAAAAAACTCTTTTTAAAATCATATACATTTGTGACCGATTTGTTTGCGACTCACCCCTGTAAAATCTTTATTTATTGTGCGATTTTAACCGGATTTATTTTAAAGTGTACATCTTGATAAACTGTATTTTTGAAGCAAAAAACGTTATTTTTTTACAAAATACAAGGCCTACTATGTCAGTTTTTAAGGGTAAATGTTTAAGAATTCATATAAGCGATTTTTTTAAACAAAATCTAAGCACGGCACTGGATTCACCACCCCTCAAAACGACACTATACTAAATTTTATTAAAAAATTAAAAAAAAAATGCACAATAACTGAAAAATTTATACTATACCTACTAAATTTTATTAAAAAATTTTAAGAAAAAAAATGCACAATAATAACTGAAAAATTTATTTTGTCAAGTTATCCATGAAAAAACATTGAAATAAAATTAAAATAATATATTATACTATAGTTACATGTTACTATTACTGTAAATTTTATTCCAATGTTTTTTTCATGGATAACTTGACAAAATAAATTTTTGTAGTTATTATTGTGCATTTTTTTTCTTAAAATTTTTCAATAAAATTTAGTATAGGGTCGTTTTGTAGACAATGATTTTCTTTCTAAAATAAGGTTTTTCTGTTTAAAGTGAATTTCCAAAATAATTATTTATTTTTTGAGAAAAATTTGCCAATCATTTTTTGATTTTGATATTTTTTATGGAGCCTACAATTGTTGCCAAATTTCAAGTCGCCGTTTATTATACATACTGATATTATACCTATTGAAAAAATGTATTATATAAAATTCTTTAAAAATTTAAAAACGTGGAAAATTTAAAAATATTTTTCATAAAGCTCGGTGCAAAAATTTACATTGTTACATAAAAAAACATACTTTCTTTTCGTGATGTTATTATAATTCCTCTAGAATAAAAAAACACTTGCTGGAGTCCAAGACGAGACGGGTTGAGTCAACATCAGGTCTTCCTTGAATACGACGGAATACCTTCCCAGCGCGACGATGCCAGATCTCCAAAAAGTCTCAGAATCTGAAAGAAAAATAAAATGTAAGTTTTCAAAATGTTTAACGTTTTTTGTGTTTATAAAAAGACATTTCTAAAACTGTCATTTCAAGCTTAAATCCATTAAAAAATACAGGGTGTTATGTAATTAATGTTATATATTAAA